TGGCTGTTCTTATCATAACCTTTAGGGCAAGGGTAATATTCATTTCGCCAACAACACTACTCTAATTCGTCGAGTGGTTTGACCGATAATAACAGCGCCGGGAATGCCGTACCTATTTTAAGCACTATCGAGAAACACTACTCGCACTCGTCTAGTGGTCTGACAGACAAGAATAGTATCGGAAATCCCGTTCCCATTATAAGTAAAGCACAGCAACACTATTCGATTTCAAGCGGTGGTCTGACAGATAATAACAGCGCCGGGAATTCTGTCCCAATTATTAGTGAAATAGAGAAACACTATTCCCATTCGTCAAGTGGACTGACCGATAGTAACAGCTCTGGGAATGCCGTACCGATTATAAGTAGTATTGAAAAACACTACACGAGTTCAAGCATTGGTTTGACCGCTAATAACAGCGCCGGGAATACTGTACCGATAATCAGTGATATTGAGAAACACTATTCCCATTCATCTAGCGGGTTAACTGAAAATAATAGCACCGGGAATAGCGTACCGGTTATAAGTCAGGTTGAAAAACAATACAGAAACTCATCGAGATCAAAAGGTAAACCCAAAAAACAGGCAATTGAGACCGATGTTTAGTTTTCGGTTTGTTTTACAATATTTTATTGTAACTAATCTTTTAAATAACTAGCAAAACATGCTGGTAACAAATTTATATAAACTTGCATGTAAACTACATTTTTTGTGTCTATATTAATTATAATTATTTAATTTGTTTAATTATATGTATTTATAAATATTGTTGTGTTTAAAAATATACTTTTATTTTATTAAAATTATAATGAAATATTTATCTGATATTAATATCATTTTAAATAATGTATTATATGTTTAAAATATTTTCAATGTCTTAAATCTAATCGATGTGTAGAAAACACCGCATATTTTAAGAAATATATTTATAAATGTTTTACAATTATTAAAACAAAAAATACACACAAAAATATTTTAACCGCAAATATATGCGGAAATATATTACAAATAAATATTTATATTAATTAAAGGCAAATACATTATGAACAGCCTTTTTATAGTGAACAGTATATCAAAATAATAGTTTACTTGTAAATTTAAACTAATTTTATTTTGTAATTAATAAAAATGTTAATAAAATTATTAGTAAAACTTTTAATTGTAAACTTATTATATAACAATTGTATTAAATGTATTGATAGTAACGATGAGGTAAATCAAAAGTGGATCAAAACATTTGGTCAATTTTTCACATCATTAGCTTATTTGGGCGATAAATATGCGCCACTTTTGGATCAAAGTATACGCGATGTAAATGTTACGGATAATTGTGCCAAAAGTTTGCGCAAATTATTTACTGATACCGACGAAGAATGGGTTGTATCAAGTGAGTGAATTAATATTTACATATTATATTACTAACTTATTTATGCAAATAATATTGTATTAAAATCTCTCTCTCTCTCTCTCTCTCTCTCTCTCTCGACATATAAATAAGCTGTAAATTAACATTAATGCATTTACTATATCTATAAATAGTGGCCAAATTAATTACTTTTTGGATCGATTGTAAACCAGACTTTATATTATTACTCGAGTATAATTTTTAAATGTATTATCAAATAAGAGAACTGTAATTTAATAATTATAATGTTTGTAATGAAAATAAGTAAATGTAATATTTTATTGTTATTGGCATACCATTGGACTGACAGATAATATCGTTGCTATTTAACTTTTAAAATATTATTGTCTTTAATTTTATGATTAATTGTTTCTTTTTAATCAAACAATACTTATTGTAGTGTTGGACGCGAGCGGACGCATACCTTCGGGCCTACTCTCGGGCACAATCACCGCTTACGGCGACTTTGACCAGTGTTTGGCCACTACGGGAACCCTCGACACCAATGGCCTGAAAGTGAGGGGCAAATACTGTTTCGCAAACATACGGCCACCGCTGCCCCCTATCGATCAATCTCTCAACTTAACAGGCACATCCTACAATGGCACCTGGGTCGATCACGAAGTTAGCCCCTACGCTCGTATGTACGCCCGAGTGGCTACTGGTCTATGCATACCATCCGTGTGTCACGAGACAGAGATTACCGATTTATTACGGAAAGGTGGTATATAAACGTAGAATTTTAACAGTTTGCTTATTTTACTCATTTTATTATTTATTTGTAGCGTTTAATAACTTTCAGTTTAGTATCACCGTGGAACACTGTACGTCGCAAAATGATCTGGATAATAAAAAGTTGGATTGGGCACAGTTGATGGCCATGTAAGTTTATCATAATTTATCATAATCAATAATTTATCATAAAATCTAATTAATCTAATTAAGTTATCATAAAAATATAAATATTTAAAACAACTCGCATCGTTAATGACCCGATTCTATATTTAACTATATAATAAATAAGCTAGAAAAGACTTGTAATTAAACATTACAGTTGCTACTAAACAAATTTTAATAAGCTTAATTCTTAACTATATTAAATTATTAAATAATTATAAAGTTAAGTAAAAGTAAACATTAAAAATTATTGAATCAAAACATATATTCAACATTATTACTTTTATAACATGATTTAATTTTTACTCAATTTTCTAAATATCATTTTGATTATAAACTGGAACAAATTAATTTAATAATAACCAATATTTTATAAGGAATTGTGCTTAATATAAATATTGGATTTAAGTCCTAAACAACTTATATTGAATTGATTTAATTTTTGCAGAACTAGCGTTACACTGTGTATACTCGCTGTTATAATTGGCACAGTATATGATGAACTACAGTGCGTCCAAACCATATCAGCTACTGGTGCCGCCGACGACAACAACAATCCACAGACAATACCTCAGACACTGCCAGGGAGTCAAGGTTTTCGTGACTTTATCATGTGCTTTTCGTTTACGGGAAACGCCCGTAAAGTGTTCACTATAACTGATGGCGGAGGCGATAGTGAACTGAAGTTCCTGCACGGCCTACGAGTGCTGTCCATCCTATGGGTAATACTGTGCCACACGACTAACTTTGCGCCGTTAGGTCTATACGATCAGCCATTAATTGCCGGTAAATTATCTCAACATAATTTATTATGAATATTAATTTTTATTTTTATAAATAAATTTGGAAACTATTTATTGTTGTTTATGATTATTTTTAATACAACTTTATAGCAAATGAAATTGGCTTGATTTAGTTTTTGTAATATATGTGCAATTATAAGATATTAACTAATATCAATTTTAATTTTAATATTATTTTAGCTCGTTTTAAGACAGACGGTGTGAATGTAATTAAGCATTTGTGGACGCAATTGATTATCAGTGGGTCTTTATCTGTGCAAACATTTTTTATAATTAGGTAAATTTTTTAATTGATTGCTGATAAGTTGGCAAGTAAAATTTAGTATATAAAATAAAATAAAAAAATATTGCGATTTACAGCGTATGCCAAATATTTAATTTATATATTTAAATCATAATTATAATTATTCTGTTTAGATTTTTGTTGCAGTTTAAACACATATATTTCTACACTATAAAAACATACAATGTAATATGTTATACAGTACTTATATTATAATTTCATACATTTAACTATTGATATTTACAATATAAAATACAAATAATTGAAAACTGAAAACTAGGGTACAAATATTTTATAATTGATAACAAGGGATTAATAATTGTAACATAATTTTTGTTTATTTACCAAAATTATAATTTGTTTGTTTATTTATGATTTGATAATCTAAACAAACATTTTTATAATTACGTAAATAAATATGTTGGTAATTTTTAAAATTTAATTTCAGTAAACAAGTAAACACTAACATTTCAAAACAGTTATATAATAGTTATAAAAATATTATTGGCTCGTTCCCGTTGTCCCGAAATTTTATATGAAAATCTTAATTATTATAGATATTTATTTATATGAATTTTTGTTACAGTTTTAACATAAAGTTTAATAAATAGTAATAATGTATTTATATTAAGTAAAACTTTATAATTAGTTATCACAATAATATTACAAATACCCAAAGTACTAATATTTTAATGTATTACATCTTAAACAGTGGATTGATTTCACTTCACACGGCTTTGAAATACAAGAAATCAACAAATGGTCAATCTTTTACTTACGGACAATATGTGCTCTTACGTTGGCTCAGGTATAGTTACAATATTAATATGAAAATTAATAAATTATTTAAAATAACTTAATTAAAAATCAGATTTGCCCCACCATTATTTGGCATGTTTTGCTATCAGTTCATTTGGCCACTACTAGGCTCGGGCCCGATGTTTCATTATGACTTTTTAAAACATGGCCATGATCCTTGTTATTACAATTGGTTGCCCAGCTTTTTGTTTATTTCTAATTGGTGGCCGTTGGTTGAGCAAGTACAACAAATTATTTATTAGAAACATGTTATCGATTGCTTAATTATTATAATTGAATATGTAAATTGCAGTGTGCATCGCAAACATGGTACCTGAGTGCCGACTTTCAAATCAACTTGGTCGCTTATTTCATGATTATCTATTATTTTCATAATCATATTACTGCCATCAGACTTAATATATGGATCATTGCAATAGGCACACTTTTGCCCGCTATTATTAACTACATTTATCAAATACCATTGGTCCACATACTTGATCCGGACCCTGAGTAAGTTAATTTGATATATTCTAGAATCTAGATTAAATTAGTAATAATTATTTTTTTTAAAGAAAATTGAGCTTGTCATTTAACATGATCGAGTTTAATACGTATAATCACTTGATGGCCTATTTCACCGGTACACTAATTGCCGGCATTATAAATAGCGGCTATAACATTGAAATGTGCAAGGTTGTGTATTATTATAATTTATAATTTACAATATATTTAATTTCTTATTATTATAGAGAACCAAGAACATAATATGGATGATAGTATTAGTTGCTATCCTAATTACCCCGTTCTCCACCTACCCATTCATACAGATGGATGACATACCGGCCTCTAATCTAACCCTATTGTATACAAGTATAAAACGGTTTGTATGGGTGGCTGGTATTGGTTGGATAGCAGTGGCCAGCGCTACGTTTGATAAGAATGGTCATTTTTAATTATATTAAATAATCACATATAATTTGTTAATTTACAAATATTTAATTATATTTTTAATCAACGATTTATAATTGTGAAGGTTTTATATCCCGTTTTCTATCGGCCAAACTATGGCAACCGTTTTCGAGACTAACATTCAGTGTATACCTGACCCAGTCGTTGGTGGTCTGGTATCACGGCTACCAATCCAGACACCTTTACCCTATTGATCATTACAATGCGGTAAATTATAAACTTTATAGTGATTTAATGCGAGAAAGAAAGAGAGAGAGAGAGAGAGAGAGAGAGAGAGAGAGAGATTTGCCTGAATGATTAAAAAAATATAATATAAAAATGTTTAGAAATAATTGATAAGGTTTAGTTATTTTGTATCTTATAAATATATAAATAATTATGATGTAAGGCTTAACCCTTAAAATAATAGTTTTGATAAATATGTAAACAGATAAGAAATGTTTGAATTAATATTTTACAGTTTATTAAAAAAAACTGCTAATTATTTCAGTCATTTAAAAAAATTATTTAATATATTTTTATTACTAAACTGTACATTATTAATTCAAACATTTCTTTCATGTTTATAGAAATTATAATTTTTTAAAAATTTGGTACAGCTTAATGTCTATGATGTTTACCATGCTAACATTAATATATTTTTTGTACTAAATAACAGTTATTCCGTGTTGGTGGTGTTACCATGTTTTCATTGCTATTTGGTTTTATTTTACACATATTATTCGAGGCACCCTCGGTCAATTTGTGTAAATTAGCATTTGGTGGTCGAAGCACAAATACTGTTACAACCAAGGTTAAATCTATGGTTGGATTGTCAGATATAAATAATAATGAGGGAGAATTGCAGAAACTAAATGAAAGTAAACCGCATAAACATTAAGTATATATGATTTACTTGCAATTTAATAATAATGCTAATTTTAATTTAATTTATACAGTAATAGACGCTGATAATAATCAAGATCAAATTGAAATGATCTCAATATATATTGATTGCAAATAATTTTAATATAAATATATTAAATAATTGTTAACACATATTTTATCAGAAACAAAACTTAAATTCTGCTAATGGTAATATAATTTAATTAATAATTTATAAAATTAATATAGCCATTAGACCAATTAATGTAATTAATATATAAATGGTAATGATTATTATTGATTGTTGAAATGTATAACAAAATAAATCAATATTCTTACTTTCCATAAAAATAAGGAATTAATAAATATGTAAATACTTAAGAAAAGTTTAAATTAATAATTTACAGTTTTTTTTTAAATAAACTCTAATTGAATAGTTTGTTTAAGTTTAACATAGTAAGAATTGAAATTATATTGGTTTAATAATCTTAAACCATTATAATTAATATTAACTTATTAAAAATCATTAAAATAATTATTTACAGTTTAGTATGAAATTTGCATAACTATTTCATAAAGTCGAAATTTTATTTTATTTACAAAATCTACTAACTTTAAAAAACTTGTAAATTATTATTTCTCGCTTATTATGCATATTTATTAATTAAATTGTTTTATTTGTCGGAATATAATTATATGTTAATAAATAGGTTAATATTATTTTTGATGGTAATTAGGAATTATGTAATTTTATTTATAAAATTAATAAATAGATTGTTAAAAAATAATTTAAGTAAATATTTATTACCAATAATAAATATTAAACGTGCAGTACAATTATTAATTGGATGAACCAGAAACATTAAGATAACATTGAGAAATAAACGAGATAAAAATTAATTTTTATAATGGGATTTATAAAATATGATATTTACAATTTCATATTAATATATCAATAAAATGTAATCAATTCAAAAGTTTATAAATACTATTTAATTGACCATAGTAAAATTTACAACATTGATAAATAGCACACACATTAAAACTTACAACACTTATAAATTAAATGATAAAAAAATATCACCACAATTAAACATTACTAACAATCAATCTCATTATTTGTGTGGCCATACAAAGCGGACAGGTTAGCAAACCTGGGTCCCAGCCTGCTCAAATACTCAAAATCATCGTCTTCATCAGACCAGCCCGATGCCAACGAGCTTAGTGTCGAACACTGGCTACCGGCCCCTTCGTACGTGTATCCCCTTAAATCATCATCGGCACTTAGACCAATTCCCAAGCCCTCGGCCCCGCTCACACCCGACTCCGAGTCCATATCTGCCATGATCATTTTCTGTAAATTCTCCCTGATCATTACGCCCACGTTCGGGTCCAGTGTTTTATTGCCCCGCGAGGCTGTGCTCTCCTGGCGTTGAACGGGAAATGTTTGTCTATAGTAGACATCTTTGACCGGACGGTCCACTTCTGGCGACGGTATGGCAGATATGGTTGACCCGTCGCTACGAAAACTGTTTGTACGCCACTGACTCGACACGTTGTCGTTTACGTCTAATTTTCCATCTAGGTCATTTTAAATATAGAGTTTAATTATTATGATGTTCTAAAATATAATTTTGTTTAACATCAATTTATTATATTTGGATGATTTGTTAGTTACAATTTTGTTAGGGTACTGAGTTCGGTTTATATAACTATGGTAATTAAAATGTCTGTATATTTTGCTTTGTTTATAAATGTTTATTTACTACTTTATTATAAAATAAAACAATCATTACACATCCTGTTTGATTAGTTTTGATATTACAGTCAATTACCTTTGCTGTCAACTATCTGTGCTGTCAACTAATCGATGTTATCAACCAAATCACCTGGAACCGTTCTGTTGACAGCAAAGATAATTGACTGTAATCAAATTGTAATTTAAAATAAATATAATTTTTAAATGATGCACAAAAAACCTACCATGCGTATCGTAGTCGATGTCACGCCTAATGGGTCCGCGATTAAGTTCAAGATCATTTTCTCGACGATTACGGCGTTTATGTACATAAGCATAGATGACCACGCTCAATATTATAGCATTTAACGAACACACAACAATGCCAATGATGGCACCAATTGATATACCTTCATCAGCCATTACTCAATAGCCGGGTCATAACAACTTCACTATTTTACATACAGTTATAATTATTAGGTGTGAATAATAGCGATAATTATATCACATATAATGTCAATCAATGTTAAAATCACTTACGGTTTTGAAACCGTTATAAACAAAGAAATAGTTAAAATATGATTAATTAAAATATATTGTTAAACTATTTTAATTAATTATCAGTTTTCAATAAACTAAATATAGCAAGTAGATAATTATATTATTATTGTTTGTATATAATTTTACGTTTAATTAATTATTAATAAAATTTTATAATTACTAGATCACATTTTGCAATAAGAGTATGTGTAATGCATTGCTGAAAATACTATGAATTAATAACGGTTTCCAGTTAATGTGAAATTCACCAAGGTAACACTTATTGTATTATAATCTAATCTAGAGAATTTATTTAACAATACTTTTCCCCATACACTCCTAACACAATGAAAGTTAAATACCAAAATGTATTGCAAAAACTTTAATAAACTCTATGGCAATAATATAATCTTGTTTTGACATTATTTCCTATTAAATTGGTTGTTGTTTTAGTATTTATTTATATTTATATTATACAATATATCATAATAAATTGGACATTTTTAAGCACTATTATTAAGTAAATCTGTTTATGATTTGTTACTACGTTAGCCATATTAAATAAATATTGCTTTTGTTCATTAATTATAGATTAACAAGAATATTAATGATATAAAATATATTTTTAATTAAATAATAAATTTATATTATAATACTTATAATTATTATGATATTTTTAATATTTATTTAAATAAAGACAATGTAAATTATTATTTAAATGTATTTTTATAATGCATCAAAGAAATTACAGTTTTATATGTTATTTCAATATGATTCTAGTAATTATCACTGTAAAGTGTACAGTACTTTATATGACAATTAAAAAGCAAAAAAACTTTCATTATAACTACAGATTAAATCCCATTAATAAAGTGAATTTTAAAATATAAAAACAACGAAATGTTGATTATTTAATAATTTACAGTTTATTAGGAGATTTGGAAACCCAACTTTTGCATTACTCATTTCTATACAATCTCCATAAGTTTTTAGCTATTAATTGGTGCACTAAAATAGAAATCAATATTATTATTAAGAAAATAGTTATCCGGGTTATGTTTTGAAGCAATATAAATTCCAAATGATCATTTCTAATGTTAGGTTGTTGCTATTATAATCTCCATAGAAAATATATTACTATTTTGCATATCAATTTAATAATGCATGAATGAGAGTATATAAATAAATTTGTAAATTAGCATTTTATTTGTTACTAAATATTATTGTTGTTAAAAATATTGTTTAAAAAATTAATAATTAAAATTAATATAATGATTAAAAACTTACTAACCATTTGCTTGTTATTTATTAATTCAATTATTGTAATAAATTGCAATCAAAATAACGTTACGGATTTGTTAATTGGAAACAATGTTAATAATAATTCAATCAAATTGGATACCATGTGGCGTAAGTTTCTACTTACATATAAATGACCTAGATTAAATGTAATTATTATTTATAAATTATGTTAAAAATATAACCAGTATTCCCAATAAAATGGCTTAACGACCAGTGCTATGACAATCTCAACCAAATGGGCATTTGTTATACCCGTTTGAAATGCACAGTAATAGGCGGCGCATACAGTGGTATATGTGCTTTGGGTTTAGGGGCCTGTTGTGTGGGCAAGTCAACTAGTATCTTAAAATTTACACTGTCAAATAAATATATTTTATGTCCATTTTCCAAGTGGCCAAGTCGTGCAATAAACAAACATCGGACAAAGTTGTGTATTTCAAAAACCCTGGTTACCCACGATTTGATACAGGTGCCAATATTTGCACCATGACGCTTCAAATAAGGGATCCAGATGTGTGCCAGGTGCGATTAGACTTCATTGATTTTGATCTAGATCAGCCAACATTGGGCGACTGTCTAGGCGACAAGTTTCGTATATCGTCGTCGGGTTCCGGAACGGGACAAATCCCGGTCCTTTGCGGCCGAAACACTAACCAACATGGTATAACTTGCACTATTATGATTATTTTAAAAATATAAAACTGTAATCACATGTAACTTTTATTTTTACATTTTAAGTCTATGTACACGTACCAAATGGCGGGTCAACCACAAGAACCGTGATCATAATATTTGATACTAACTCAATCGGCGACTATCGGTGGCAGATTAAGGTAACCCAAATTGATTGCAGACCGGGTAGATTACCTGGTGTTTACCCACCTGCACCAAATGGCTGCCTACAGGTATGTGTTTTACTGTTTATCTATCAAAACAATAATTTAAATTATAAATGATTTGACCAGTACCATACGGAACCTACGAAGGTGATTGAGTCATTCAATTATGGTCAGCAATACCTAAACAACTTAGACTACGGGCTGTGCGTAGAGCGGGCGCCCAACACGTGTCGAGTCACTTACCGGGTGGCCGGCGATAGGGAGTGGTCTCTGGACAGCGCACAGGCGGCCAAAGATAGGTCAGCGGTGGGCGACCAACAATGCGCCGGCGATTATCTACTCATACCGGGCGGGTCCGAGACGGGTGACCCGCCCACCGCTGACCGCTATTGCGGCGGGCGTTTTAATTGGCTGCCCGGGGCTGTAATTGACGCCCCCGTTGTGTCAAAAGCCAATGGTATGATAGCGCTAAGATTCCATTCGGACACTTTTCAAGATCCAGGCTTTGCCCGGGGCTTTCGGGTTCGTTACGAGCAGAGTTCAACTGGGTGTGTTTGACATTTTTTTAAAATATTATTATTTTAATTTATATTGATTTTTAAATTAAATGAAACAGTATATGTAATAAATAAAGTTTATTAAATAAATTGCTTTTTACAATTTAAATTAATTTATAATAATAATATTCTTTATTAGATTCCAACATTCAACGCACAATGAATGGAAGTACAATTGCAGTCAACTCCTAGTGACTGATAGTATTACACAGTCTGTTATTATATTACATAGTCTTGTATTATTTTTACAATGCACAAACTATCGTATTGGTTAGCCACCATCTAAAGCTGATAGCAGTTTATCTTTTACCTCAATCAGTCTAGGGAGTAGTTTATGAACAAGATCGTCTAATTTTGCTTTCATTCCAGTTGAAACTTATTTAAAAAGTAACATTTATCAATAAATTTTAAATATATCTATTAACAAAAAACCTACTAGTTTTATTATCTGAAACCACAAATGTGTCCGACAAAACGATAAGCATAATAAAAGTAACAATGCGGTATACTTGTTTCATTATTATAATTAAAATAATAAAATAAATCATATAAGTTAAATATATATTTTATAATTTTTAAATGTTACATTTTTCCATGAAAGTTGTTATATTTTATGTTAAACAGATATTTTTATGTAATTAAAATATATATTTGCTTCTAATAAAATATTTCTATTCATTTATTGTTATTTTTATTATTAAAATTGATTGACATTGTTACAATGTCATACTTTGCATTCATGGTTTAATAGCATAATAATTTTTATTCAGAATTGATTTAATAATGATAAATATAGATCTACTGTATGATCATTTTGTAACTATTAAAATTAATATTTATAAAAACACAATATATCTGATATTAAGTAAAGTCTATATAAATCAAAATGAATAAATATTTTATTTTCAATTACTAAATCATCCAAAAAAAATAAAATAAAATAAGATTTAATTTATGCATAATAACATGCTAAACTTTAATGTAACAATATCATCTTGATATTTGCATGTTTATAACATAATGTAATACAAATTAACTGCTTTTGCTTTTACCCAATGATTCTATTTTATCTTTAATATCAGTAAGTGTGCTTGTAAATTTCTTGATAACATCTTCCATCTTTGATTTAATGTCCTCGATGTCTAAATTGAAGCAAATATAAAAAATCATTATGTATTATTATACCATATTGATATTAAAAATTAATATATTAATGTGTATGGGTACATACTTGATTTCATATCAGCCGCAACACCAACGTTGGCGATATCGATAATTACCAGCAACGCTACGGCAATGCATAAAATAGTAATAGGTTTCATGGTTTACGCGGAAATTGACTGTTTACTGATGGTATACTCGGAAATTTTACAACTAGTTGTTTTTATAGAAACTCTGTATAATTTTTATGAATTGAAGTTTATTTTATTTGAATTATTATTGTTACAAATCAACAACTGTTAGTGTTTTTTGATTGACATAGATCGGATGAGAATATTTTATTATTTTTATTCTGCATTAATCATGCGATAGTTTGTTTATTAAATAACCAAATGCACATTTTATTTGATAATGATGACAGACTTTTAACTAAAGTTTATAATTTTAAACAGTTATTTTAAGCTCATCATGATTTCATAAAAAATAATTATTTATTTAACAAATAACATGAAATAATATTTTTAATACAATAAATAATATACTTCAAATTATGTTAAATAAAACATATCATCAAGTTTTTAATAAATTATTTTAACCACAATTATTATATGAAGAATGTAATTTATAGGAACGTTTGCCTTTTCCCCCGTCCCCCCCGCTTTATAGAATTTAATATGGTATTACAGCTTAAATTACAGCTCATAGGTTTAACATGGGCACGCTTTTACATAAGTTTCTATGAGAATACAGCTCAAGTCTATGACATAGGGTTAACATGAGTTATGCTGAATCTATGGACAATTAAAAAAATTTAAAATTAATATAAGTCTATGGATGTCCTTATGTCAAATCTATATGACTAATTCTAATTTATTCTTTGAGCATCACCCAAATTGTAGTTAACCTATAGGTCTGTGATCCTTATTTATTTTATATTGTTAAATAAATTTATGACATTATTAATTGTTAAAATTAATTAATCAATTATTTATTACATTACATAAACTTTAGTTTAATATTTAATAGTATAAATAAATTATTTATAATTATTTAAAATAATATAAAATGATGAAAAATATACATTAAATTAAAATTATTTATAAATTTATTATTAAATTAGAAATTACAAACAAAAATAGCAATATATATTCTTTATATAGAATAATTATTTATCATATTATTCTATTATAAATTACAATTAAAAATATTTAAGATGTTGTGCTTGATGATAACGCATCCTTAATTTTGGTAACTAATTGGGTAAAATTGCTCATGCACGCGTGAATTGTATCCAGCTCGGCCTTTATTTCGTCAACTATATAAAATTTAAACAATTATTAATATATTATATAAGTATACTATTTAATTGCATAATGTAAAATTATTTCACTTTAAAAAATCTTATGAACATAATTAATTTTTATACCTGATGGAGTAGCTCGCTTATGAGTAGGATTGCCATTGCCATAAGCTAATACAACAAACGCGGCCAAAACAACTAACAAGGTAACAAATTTCATATGATTCATTTTGGAAAGTTTATAATTATTAAAATTTGTATACTGTAAGACAATTGGCTTTTATTAAAAATTTATGTAATGTTTTATTGTAGATAAAAGTACAACAAAAATCTGCATAAAATTAAACATTTTTGAAAATAACAAATTTTACATAAATTTGTTTTGTATAATTAACATCCGATATTTTTAATTACTTAAATTCTACTAAACTACGATCTATAAAACAAAATATTCAAGCTCAATTATAATTAAAAATACACAATAAAAAGAAATGAAAATTTGAAATTTAAATTTTATTTTCTTTAAATATTTGAAAAAATAATTTTCATAATAAAGTTACTAATGATATTACATTTTAATTTATTTATAATTATGATTTAGTTTTCATAACTTAATCATTTAGCTGGGAAGTTTCTCGAGTTTGTTGGAAACATTTTCTCGTTTTCCAATAAAAACAAATAATAAATAATTAATTTTATTTTTATCATTAAATGTACGATTAAGCTTTGTTTATTTAATTATACACAAAGGTTAATTAAGGTAAACTTAATTGATTATTCAAAATTATATTTATTCAATACATCAAGATGTTACATCAATTATAAATTATAATTTAGAATAAAGTTATTTATAACGTACAAAATCGCAAAACGTTTCTCTAATTTAGAACAGTAAAAATTATTAAGTAACAAAATACACATAACCTAGAACAATCCTAATTAAGTAAAAACATCCAGATAACTATGACGATCCCGGCTTAACCACAACAATTTGCGGATTATTATTTCGCCTAGGTCGTTTATGTTTTCGTTGTTGTTGTAACTGTTGCAGTTGTAACTGATGGTGAAGGGGGTGATGGGGCGGTAGGGGGCCGTTCACAACAGTCGTTACGTACTGACCATTAGCGGACAGACGGCGTCTGACCATCACTGGTCGCATAGCTTGCGGCGATGGTTTACGGGGTGGCCGTTTCACCGGCAGCACTTTGAATCGGTATATATTAAAGCTCATAGACTCTAACACTGTGACAAACAGACATATGGTTGACAGGTATATAAGGGTTACGGTGATTGTCAGGAATTCCCACATGATTGACGCGCGGAAACTGTTTTCAAACGAGATGTATGGCCGCAATCGCCGCTGGCCTATGGGCACCACTAATAGTATAGTTATGAACACAGATATTAATATGCCGTGAATGGTTAGTATGTAGCATTTGGTCCGTTTAATGGCTACTAATTTGCCATATATTTTAACGCACATGATAATCACGCTGATGAATAGTAGCACCGAGCTGAAATAATTAAAGTAGCGTTGTAGAAATAGGAATTTTATCATGTATTGTTTGTCAATTGTGTACGAGTTTAGCACTGATAGTATACATGTTATATACAAATACGATATAATTATTACAATAGTGAATATTATTTTTACTTTCTTAGCCATGATGGTAAATTTTTATGATAGCATTTATGTGGACACAATTATATGTTGTTTTTGTTTTACATTCAGCGAAATTCTTGGCATTATGTAAATACACAACAATTTATATGTGTTTTCATGATATATGAATGCGAAATACATTTTAAAATTCTCGCAACACTTATTAGTTGTTACTAATTATAGCTATAAGTATTAGTTCATAAAATACAGCTCACTCTTGAAATGATGTACCCTAACAAAATACTGCTAATTGAGTTTTTATTTATTTATACAGTTATAAATTAACAAGATAATTAAAAACTATATCATTACTGATAATTAGAGCTAACTTTTACAACAACAAAAATTTAAATTATAAAATTGTTTTTATTTTTTAGTTTACTATTTTGTAAATGAGATGTATGTTTGGAACTTTAGATTAAAGCACCAAAATAGTTGAGACACAGCGCCGGGATCCTAGAGTTAGTCTGAGGGTTGAGAGAGAGAGAGAGAGAGAGAGAGAGAGAGAGAGAGAGAGAGAGAGAGAGAGAGAGAGAGAGAGAGAGAG